CTCCCCCATGACCTCTCACCATCTTGACTGCCAGCTTTTAGTATGCAAGCCTCACCTTGAGAGTGCGATGTAGCCCAGGTATGCTCGTCTCCTCAGTGTGATCATGTATAATTATCAGTCGTGGCTTGTTTCTGAAGGATGGGGTGGGAAGGCATTTGATTACTTTTCATCCAGCTCATTTTATGTGCATACCAGTTTATTGTACACTGAGTGTTGTACATACATGGCAGTTCATGTTTAAAAAAATCCTTAAAGTAAGGATCTTTTTGTTTTTGATTTCAAAAGGCATGTCATATCTACTTTTTAAATGTATTAATGAAGATTTTAACTTGACTTCAGATGGAGTGTTTTTTTTGTTTTTGTTTTTTCTTACAAATATCTGTATGTTTAGTTTAGCGCAATGTTACTGAACTGTTAAACTTAGCATGTAGAGAATACAGCTTGCTTTGTGGGAAGGTCCTGAATTAAATTTTAATCATGGCACTTTTTCTGCATAAAAGAGCAATCGTGTTAATGATTTTATTTTTTTCAATATCCGTTAAGCCATTTTACTTGCAAGAATTGCTATTTGTGCTGAAGATGTATTTAAAAATGTTTTAAGACATCTTTGTTAGCCTTCAGGCTATATGCTATTGTAAAGTGTATATACAGTTACATTGAATTTCTGAAACAAAGTTTTAAAGTTAAAAACCTCTTGCATGCCCTTTGTTTTTATTTCTCTCGACTGCCTGAGATGATGCTGCAGCTGTGGGACAGTTCGTGGAAGAAGAGGGGAATGGTATAATGTGATCTTAGACTCCACTTAAGCGTAATGTATTTCCCCGCCTTTGGCTTAAATAACAGGCACAGGCTCAGTGGTGTAGGGAAGGTATACAGAGTATACCTATTCTTTTTCAGGTACTTCTAAATCCCCCCTAATACCCATCAGTCAGTAGTGTTTGTGAGCTGTTTTTCCCTAGAATGGAGAAGACATGACAGAGTTGTCCAATAAGTCGATGGAGGAAGGAAAAGGAACACTCAAAATGCATAATTACTCCCCGAAGTCAAGCAGCATAAGTTAAGTGACAATGTGCAGATACTACAGGCCCATTTTTGGTTGAGCTAAATATGCAGGAGTAGTGTTACATGTCAGTGTTTATAACACAGGGCCTTTATTCTTTGCTGCATGCCCCTTACCATAGCTAGGCACCACTACACCACTGAACAGACCCACAGCATTTATTGTAGTAGTATTTAAAGTAGGCAGAACATATGCTTTCTTTTATTTTGAACTGTTTAGTATACATTTCATCATGGTTGTTGCTTTGTGGTTTATAATTTGCCTAATAACACTAGTGGATATAGTAGCCTTTTTATTTTGATCCCTTCTCCTCCAGATCCTTGTAGATACTTAACCCCTATAACCTTCCATTATTTTTTTAAATGATTTACATAACTTTAAAAATTATTTTAAATGCTGAATAATTGTATTTTGATAGGGGTTATCTGGGGTTTAAATGTTTATTTTTTTTTAGAAAGAAAAATCCCCAAATTTGTAACTTAGAATTGGCTCCATTTTTAATATATGGTGTAAATGTTATTAGATAAATTTTGAATGGTGTTTTCTCTGTTAAAACACCTTAAGCAAAGCAGGAAAGACCAATTAAACCACCTCAGTATGTAGAAAAACTAAAAAAAAAACTACTTATTTATTTAATAAATAAATGATGCCTGCTGTTACAAATAATTCCTTAATTTGGCCAAATTCAAGGGTATATTGAGTAATTTATGCTACTTTAATGCTGGGGCAATTGCTTCTAAAGATCAAACATCAGGCTGTATATCGGAGTTATAAGTCGCAGCAGATGTCGTGTAAATCCTCCAGCAGTCAGTCTGGTGTCTCCTGGCTCCTCTGTCGGGACTCGGGTTTCAGACGCAGGAGTTAATCAACACACCTCGTTAATAATTCAGTACCGACGGTCAGGCTTGTTGCTGAAATCCCTTCTGCGTTTCACAGCCCTCATTTCGCACCTACTTTTTCCCCTTTAGCAGTGTCCTTAATTACGCAGCTTTCAGGGGCCGGTGTAGAGTTGCAGGTAGGCCGGGAGGTGAGGATCTGTGAGCAGAGCTGCATGGAAGAGCGGATCATCATCATCATCATCTGGACCTGCTGGACGAAGATGAATTTTGACGGATGAGCGACTGACTGTACAGTTGACCAGTATGAAGCCTGTTCTCAGTCCGGTTCTTCTGCCTCAGCTTAATATTTCTGCTACATCAACAGGATAAAACAAAGTGGATTTATTTGATCATTATTAACTGGACTGGTTGCCTGCTTGCATTTGATTGAGGGAAATTACAATGTGGTCGACATCAGCTGCTTGTATGGTGTGCATCCTTTTTGGTGAGTATAAAGTAAGATTTCTGGAAGCTTTAATTAAATTAAATTAAATAAACCACTGAGGATGTATTGTCTATAAAAACAATATAGTGATACAAAACTTTAGTTACTTTTCTGACAAATAAACCAAAACAGAAAAAAAAGTAATATCTTAAAAAAAGAGATTTCATACCTCAGTGGGAATTATAGAAACCTTGATATGTTGTTTGTGTTGTGACTTCAATTTTTACAAAAGAGTCGATTTTTTTCACAAATGTCACCGTGGGCCAGCAGTAATTAATATTTCCTGTTTTCCTTAATGTCTACAGGGATCATATGCAATGTCAGGCAAGTGTACTCGCAACCCAAATTAATACAAAGGAAGACTGACCAGACGCCTGACGAAAAGTTAGAAGAAGACATCCAGAAAGTTATTAATCAAATCCACTCTTTGTCCGGTGAGAATGAAAATGCACGCAGCTTCAGCATCTCATCCACAGGAGAGGGGTTTGACTTGAATGCATATTACAGTGCTCTGAGCAACGTGTACACTGTCTTTCAACCACTGCTCAGAGACGGATTCATAGATGACCTTCCCAAAATTATAATCTGTATTCTGTCTGGGAGACAGGACTGTGGACTGGAAGCAGAACTAACAAAAACCGTGTCTCTGGAGTTAGGGAAGCCATTCCTGCTGTTTATGTCGTCTCTGAGGTCCCAGACGTGCACTCCGCTGAGCAGCGATGGAGAGTCAGACAGCTTCCTGAGGACCTACCTCAGGATGGGGGAATCATCAGGTTTTCAGAAGACATTTATAAATATAGTATCGAGTCTCCCTCTTTCTGGGAATTTGATGAGTACTGTGATTGGCCTTGTGGATGCAGCTGTGAAATATGTCTCAGAGTTCTTGGTCACGTTACTCCAAGTACCAATGGACTATATAAAAATAGCTTTACAATTTGGAATTAGAGTACCATCTTTAGATGAAAAAGAGACCTGCGAGCAAGGTAAAATATGAATTTCCATCATTATAAACACTTGTTAGTGCCACGTAATTATCTAAACAGTTCTGTATAATATAAAGTGTATTACAAAATCTATATGCTGATTGAATTGTTTTTCCACTTGCAGGAGATATCAAGCAGCTCATTATGTGGTAAGTCATTTGTGAAATTCACATAAACCCTTTTTGCTGTTAAAGCTACCCCAGGGAGTTTTTCACCACTTGTAGCACTGTGGAGCAATATTTTTAAGAGTGGGTCTCTGTTTTGTTTTTGTTGTGTTTGCACACAAGCTTGTGATTGATTAAATACATGTTCCTGCAACTGGTTTCCGCCCCGATTTTTATAATTGATTAATTAATAAATATGAGCAGGACACACACTGTACTGTAACTTTGTCTGTGTGGAAATTTTTGCATCACAGATGATCAAGAACGACATTAAAACATGAGACCCATGTCTCCAACGCAGGTACTGCTGATATAGGAATTT